ATTGTACTTGTGAACAGGTAGCCATTTGAAAATCAAAATATCCATCTTCACCTAGGTGAGTGGTGACAAATCTATAAGTCATGAATAAAAGCACATGTTGTATGATATGCTTATAAAAATAATTTACAACACAGAGGAATCTTTGCTGTCCTGATAGACCAACTATAAAGACAGATAATTCTCATAGATCGGCATGAGTTACCGAAGTATTTGCTGAGGTAGAAACTCACAGTGTAGGTAGGAAGCTAACTCCTGATCTGTCAATGATGCAGCTGGGGAGAAAGGATTATCATGTAGATTTTGATCTCCCTTCATCTCTGCCTGTGTCACTATGGTTACAGTAGCTGCTTCCAATAGTGAAGGATGCCCCACAGTGGTAGCCAGCCTGTTCCTCTGACTGATTGTCCTGGATGTTCAGGTCTCTTTGCCCTTAGGCCCAGATATACCATTGTTCATCACTACCATCACAACTTTGAGCCCCTTTCCTGGTTTCTATTGGCAACACTCATCATAGTATTTACTGTAGCCACTGCTCAGGGTGCAAGCAAGCTTGGTTGTTTTTGATGGGAAAAATGGAGAGTTCTGCTGAGTCAGCACAGGTTTGGACAGATGCTTTACATCAATGAGTCATGTGGAAAGATTAAGTTTTCATTTCTTTAGTTTTGAGCTGAAGTCTTTCATATAGGCTGTGCATCTATCTGCCTTGATGTCTCTGAAGCCAGTCCCTACCTAAGCAGTAGTTGAGAAGAATGGAGAGGGGGGAAAGTGATCCAGCTTTGGTGAAAAGTGTCCTGCTAGGACCTCAAGAAAGGAGCTGGCCTGTGTCAGACCTCTTATTCCCTTCATATTGTTTAGGGAGTAGAAGACCCATAGCAAACCCAGGCCCACTGGCTTCCTGACTCATATCCTCTCATAGAGCCCTGGGTCTATATCGAGTAGGGTCTGTGGACAGACAGCCTGGCCATGGTGCTCTAGTTGCCCTGGATGGAGGCCTGGAGGAAACACCGGGAGGGACTATACAGATCTGTGTGCAGCTGACCTTGCCAGACCCAGAGAGGATACAGTGGTTGATTCTCTGCAGAGAGCACCTGCCTAGACCTCAGCCGCCAGACAGTTGAGCACCACCAGCTGTGAGCGCTCATCTCACATGTCAGAACCTATCTCACAGTGCTGCCTCCTGCTGGTCTCAGGTCATCCATCACTTTCTAGCTAGGACAAAGCTCTCAAATTGTTCTTTTTTTCAAACATCCCAAAGTACACCAAATAATTGGCCAAAATTAAATGAAATTATTGATGTAAAAACTGAGGTAAACTACTTCTGTAGCCATCACTGACATGATGCCTCCTTGTGTGGACTAGGAAGGAAGGAACACTTGGGCTCATGGTTCCTTGAGGGCATATAAACTGCAAAGTAACCAGAGCACAAGCAACTATGGACAGACAGCAGAATAGGTCTCTCTACCAGAAGTTTACAGAAAAGGTCTCGCTTCAACGATTTAGATCCTCCCAGAAGAGCTGTGAGTGAGCATTAGCATTACTGGTAAGTATATTCGTTTTCTCCTGGACACAAGAGCCTACTATTTGGTCCTAAAAGCCTTCTGAGGTCCCAACTCTTCTCACTATTTCTTAGTTGTTGGAATTGACGGAAAACCTCATAAGCAGTTCCTTACTTCACCTCTGTCTTGCATGTGGACTTCCGAGTTGTAAAACAACCCAGTGGTAGATGGAATTTGCTCCAGGACTTAAGAACAATAAATGACATAGTTGAGCCTCTACATCTGTGGTTCCTAATCTTTATACTATAATAGACAATGTGCTAATCAATAGGCCTTTTATTGAAAGAACTACCTTCCCTCTGTAATTTGATTTGTGCCACTATTAGAGCCTCTACTTGGAATATTATTGCTTTTTAATTTTTGACTCATGTACTTTTAACTTGTTAGTTAAATTTGTGTCTTCTAGGCTGCAACACTTCCATGATACATCTTCAAGGGTATGAACATGTACGGCTAAGCACAATTGATAACAGTGCATCTAAATTCCAAAATCAATCTCCATAATAGTCTATGTGATTCCTATTGCCAAAGGGGCCCTTTAGAGTAGTGAGAGGCGATGTTTACCCTGAAACCTACAGCACCCCTTTTCAGCAGGAAGAGAATACTCAGTTAAGAGAATACTCAGTCCCCTTTTCCTTATGAATCAGGGTGAAGTCTCTCTCAGGGAGGAGTGATAGGGAATAGCAAAGGACACACTGACAAAGGAAATGAATCAGAAATAGCTTTGACAAGCACTGTGGCAATTGGACAATTAAAACAGACTTGCAAGGGGGAAAAAAAAAGAATAACGAACTGGGGAAGAGGGTAGAGAAATTAGTGTAACAATGAATGAATGAAAACCCAAAATCTCTGTAAATGTTCATTGAAATTAATAAAATTTAATAATAAAAAAGAAAAGGTCTGAGATAATCTTTAATGATTATAAGAACTGACTTTAAAAGAGGAGAAAGTAGAAGGTTTCTTCCAGGAAAGATCAGAGAGGATTTCGATTGACATAGTATTACTGCTACAGAGCCTGGAGAATGGGGTCTCGACAGGACAAGAGAATGCTAGGGGGTATTACATGGACTTTCCCTTCATTTTCTTGCACTATTTTAATCATGGGTATAATCACTGTCACTTACGTCTGCATATTAGAAATAAATTTTGGGAGAAATGTTAAGGAAGAGTTGGCAGCAGATTTCTGGGAGGAAAGAGGATGTGTGACAGAGCAATAGGGAAGTAATGAAATGAACCACGTCTCCAAAAGAGAAAACAGCCAAGGGGACCAGCAGCCCTCATGCTAGTGAAGGAGCCTGGATGACACACAGGTAAGTGCTTGGCTGCTACCTGAAAACTCATTTGTTTGAATCCTTCCAGGAACTTCTCTAGATAAAGAATTCAAATCAATGGTAACAAAGATACAACCAGAAAAGAAAATCTTGTGGGTAGCTTGACTGGGTCACAAGATAATAAGGATTAGAGTTGACCTAACGATAGCAAAGGTAGCTACTGAATTTGAACATCATTTAAAGACACTCAAATATTGGTTTTTTGTGAATTATTTGTGTAGATCTTTTGTAGATTATTATTAGGTTGTGTTTTGCTCTTAAATAGTGGAAGATACATTTATATAGAGATATCTATATCCATATCACAAAACAACTTTAGGCTTGAATAGATGATTCTTCAGCATGTAGAAATCCCATTTTCAAACATCTTCTATTGAACAGATTTTTACCTATTGAGTGCACTTGACACTCTTGTTGAACATCATATATAGGATTATTTCTGAGTTTTCAGTTTTATATTTCTATTTTAAAACATTTAATGATCATTTGTTTGTTTTAATTTTTTAAATTTTAAAAATTCTCAAGAAATGTGAGTGCTCATATTTATTTTCCATTGATGACTCTGATAGTATTTAAAATACCAGTGGTATAACTTCCCGCATCACAAAAACAATCATAGTATAACAGACATACATCAGTGAGTTCCTGTGTGTTGAGTGAGATCATATATATATATATAGAATTTTGGATATACATTCCTTCGTGGAGTAACTTTACAGATCACAGACTATTACAGCCTTTCAGAGTCATCTTCTGTCCTGCTGTTTTACACATAATTTGATAGAAGGAATAATTCCACCTTGATTTCCTCTCCTGCACATGCACATATTCACTCTATGGAGGGCGGTGGAAACTCCTCTCAAAGCCTCAAGAGTAGAGCAAACCCAGCCACTCTCATGCTACTGTGTGGGGAAATGTCCTGCGTGATCTCCTACACAGAGAGGTATTTACAACCTGACTGGACCAATTGGGAGCACCATGAGAGATGGAGAAGAGATGGAAGCTGTTAACAGTTAGTTTGCCCGGCCGCACAACTAACACTCTTGGAACCAGCAGTAAGAAAATTAAAAGACGAATTTTATTGGGAAATCTACTGTTGGATACCTCTCCAAAGCACTGAAAAGCAATGATGTCAGTCGAGATTAAGGTGAGCCTGATCCATTCCATAGTCTTCACAGTTACTTGCTATGCATCAGAGAGCTGGACAATGACTAAGAATGACAGAAGAAGAATTGATGCCTTCAAGTTGTGGTGCTGGAAAAGAGTTTTGAACATATCATAGACCACCAAGAAAACAAATATGTCTGTCTTGGAGTGGGTGAAACCAAGTTTCTCCTTGGAGAATAGGATTTTGAAGCTCCATCTCACATACTTTGGACAGTTGGTCAGGAGAGACCAATCCTTGCAGAAGGACATCATGCTCAGAATGGTGGAGGGACAGCACAGGAGAAGAAGAACCGGGATGAGATGGATTAATACAGTAACATGGGCAATGGAGGTTGCTGTGTCAGAATTAGTGAGACTGGCTCAGGACACAGTAGGATTCAGAGCTGCTATATGTAGGGTTACCATGGGTCACAGGCAACTCGACAGTACGTAATAACAACAGCAACAACAACAACAACACCCTGAGTGTGTGGAGATGATTTGGGGAAGGAATGGAAGTCAGATGGATATACATGATCCCAAGAAATCAGGGTCAAGTTTTTACCTCCGGGGGGGGGGGAAGAAATATTGTCTGGTTTTATGAGTGTAGCTCAGTTATCCTGCTCCCAGTTATTTAGCAGGGGACGGGACATGGAGATTTTACTCTAACTGCACTTATGAAGGCTTTGCATCCACAAATAAAATATTCTACAGTGGATGAGGTTGTGGTAATAACCACACAAATCCACAGATAAAACTACAGGTTTTACAAAATGTTTCTAAAAATATTTTGTAATACTGGGGAATATTTATCTGCTGATGAGGGCAATGAGCAGATTAGACCATGCTCACAAATGTAGGCTGAGTAACAAAATATATTTCTCTGGGTCTGTCAATCATGTTTATGGGGAGAAAGGATCAGTGGGGAGGTTTTTGTCTCACTTCCCCTCTGCCTGTGTCACTGTGGTTACACGTAGCTGCTCCCACTACCATGGTTTACCCCACAGTAGTAGACTGACTCGTCCTCTAGCTGGATGTTCTCGATGGTCAGGTACCTCTCCAGGTCAGATCCGGAGCCTGAGAAGCGATCAGGGATCCCATCCCCCTTGGATCCAGATATACCACTGGTACCCACTCGCATCACAAACCTGGGGCCCTTCCCTGGGCTCTGCTGGTGCCAGTCAACATAGTAGTTACTGTAGCCACTGCTCAGGGTGCAGGTGAGCGTGGCTGTTTGTCCCAGGGAGAAAGATGCAGATGCCTGCTGAGTCAACCCAGGCTGGGACAAGGACCCTGGAAAAAAATATTGTGTGTAAAGGGGGAGGACTAAGACTTTATTTCTGGGTTTCTGAACTGAAAGGACAATGCAAGCTGGGCTTCTGCCTCTTGGCCTCTGATGCTTGTCCCTACCTGTGCAATGGGACAGGAGCAGGAGGAGAAGAGAGGTCCAGGCCATGGTGGACACAGTTCTAGTTTGATCCTGGGTCTGTACCTAGGTTGTGCCAGGCCAGTCTTATCCCCTCCACATAGATGGAGGAGGAGCTCCCTAGGCAAATCTAGGCCAACCCACTTCCTGACTCATGTGCTCTCATGGAGATCTGATTTTATACTGCATGGGGCGTGTGAACAGGCAGCCTGGCCATGATGCTCTAGTTGTCTTGGGGGGAGTGTGGGGAAGCAGCTGCAGGGACCACAGAGACCTGTGTGCAGCTGACCCTGCCAGACCCAGAGAGAATACAGTGGCTGAGTCTCCTACAGAGAGCACCTCTTTCCCTCAGCCCCTAGATGGTTGAGTATCACCAATTGTGAGCAACTATTTCAAAGAAACATACCAATAGCCTATTTCACAGTGCCATCTGTTGGTCTCTGGTCAAATATCATCTTCTAGTAAGAACACTGTGGCACCAGAGATATCATTGCTAATGTCAGATGGCTGAAAGTAAAGAAAAGAAAAAGAGAAGAAGAAGAAGAAGAAAAGAAAAAAAAAAAACACCCTTGAAACTAACCAACCAAACAGAAATAAAAACAGTTCCCAGAATTTTAAATTCTTTAATTTGCATCTATGCTTATTAGATTGTATATTTTCATACTCTTTATTTTACCTTGAACAAATAACTTCCCTTCTCCAATCTTCAGCTTCTACAACTGTACAATACTGGGGAAAGACTGGATATTTATAATTTTGTGTATGTTCTGATAATTTACCAGAATGTATTTATATACAGTAATAAAATCTTCCTTCAAGAATAAAAAAAAGAATACCAGAAGAATGTCTATTAATGTTTTATTGACTATGCAAAGACATTTTACTTTATGAATCATAACAAGTTATGGCTAACAATAAGAATAGGAATCCCAGAGTTCTTAATTGTGCTCATGCAAAACCTATACTTAGACAAAGAAGCTATTGTGCTAACAGAACAAGGGAACACTATATGATTTAAAATTAAGAAGAGAGTGTGTCAGGGTTGTGTTCTGTCTCCACACCTATTCAATCTGTATGTTGCTGTTGATTGCAGTTGAGTTGAGCATGACAAATAGCGACTCTATGAACAGAAAACATGAAGCCTTTCTATAGCTATTGTCGTTTCTCAAAGTTCATAGTTTCTAGAGGCATGTTGTTTAGGAAGTGGATGCCAATTCTGCTTCCAATCAATCTGTATGCTGAGCAAATTACTTGAGAAGTTGGACTCTATGAAGAAGAAGGTGACATCAAGATTGGAGGGAGACTCATCAATAACCTGTGTTATACAGATGACACAACTTTGTTATTCAGATGAAAGTGAGGAAGACTTGAAGCAGTTATTGCAGAAGATCAAAGAATACAGCCTTTAGTATGGATTTCACCTCAACGTCAAGAAAACAAAGATTCTTACCACTGGACCAATAGGTGATACCATGATAGATGGAGAAAATTGAACAACTTCATCTTACTTGGATCCACATCAACATTCTTGAAACTGGTAGTCAGGAAGTCAAGACACATATGTCACAAGGAAAGTCTGTAGTTAGGGACATTTCCAAATTATTGAGTAATAATGATGACAGTTTAAGGACAAAGATGCATGAGATTCAGGCCATGGTCTCTTTGATCATGTACTATGTATCTGAGAGCTGGACAATGAATAAGGATGACAAAGAATTGCTACCTTTGAGCTGTTGTGTTAGAGAAGAGTACTGAACATTCCCTGGATGGCCAAAAGAACAAACAAGTATGTTTTGGAGAAAGAGTAGCCAGAGTGCTCTTTGGAGGCAAATGATGATAAAGTTTCACCTCATATACTTTGGAGAGGAACATGATGCTTGGAAAGGCAGAGGACTGGTGAAGGAGAGGAAGACCTTCAACCAGGTAGATTGACACAGTGACTTTCACAATGGGCTTTAGTGTATCAGAAAGTGTGAAGACAGCACAAGATAGGACAAAGGTCAAGTATGTTTATAGGATTGCTGTGGGCCATACTTGATAGCACCTAAAAACAGTAAAAACAAAACTCTCTAATTTTCTTTTCAAACTCACTGCAAGCTTCAATTCACACATTGATTCTTCAGACTTAAGATTCCAACACTTACTAGTAATGCCACATGGAACAATGTAGATGAGTTACTGGTGCAGCAATTCCAGACATGGGACCGTCCTGTGTGGGCTGGTGGTCTAGTGGAGAAGGGACACTTAGAGTCATGGATCATGGCTGGCTTTTGAGCTGCAGGAGCAATAACAAAATGACATAAAGGCAGACATTGAAAGAGTCTCCTCCTCAAAGAAACCCACAGGATAGGAGTGAATAAATGTTTGATCAGGAGAAAACAGATGTTAATAGAAGAAAACTAGAAGGTCTCTTCTAGAGAAAGAAATGGAGAGAAAATAGACTTCTGAATAAAGTTGGGACTGGGTTCATAAGTGCTAGACCCTGAAGTGTAAAGATTAAACTCACACCATTCTAAACATAGAATAAAAGGAAGAAAATTATAAAAATTAAAAAAATGAGAGTGGACAAGTGAGAAAGTGGTGAATGAGAGAGTATACATCTACTGCAAGGAATGATCCAATAACTGGAAATCCCGGATCTCTTTGAATGTATAATCTTTCATGAAAAACTGACCCCGGACTTTTATGTGGTTTCTGAACTTATAGCACGAGCACCAAGATTTCACGCAGCAGGAAGGACATCTTAGTGACAGAGAGGCAGTTGTACTTCCTAAGTCACTCAAGATTAACTTCTTTCTTCTTGTTATGTTCACCAAACACCTAGTGCCGGTATTTTTATTCTAAAGACAACATTGAGGAACCAGTGACAAAAGCAGTCATTCTAATTGGCCCATTCAGACAGGGTGAATCAATTGCACCAGGATGCCTGACATTGGGAGCTTAAGTCTCATCCCTGATCTGTTAAGAAAAAAAGCAAAATCAAAAAGGATTTTGATCAAACATTCTTCTAAGTGGCATAGCACTGGTCTGTCCATTTGCTGTACAGAGGTAACTTGTGGGTGCTGTGATACTGATGTGTCAAATGTGATAATGGATATCCTTGGTGGATAGTATTTGGTGGAGATACTGATTAAACAAGCCTGGAAGTAGGAGTGGCATCCACATCTGAAATATCTTGCCTCTGGAAACCTGTGGACTTAGAGAAATGATGAAAGTTATTCAAGTGTTCAGGTTTTTCATTCATAGGGTTGCTATAGTCATCTATGACTCAACAGCACTTAACAACAATAACAACAACAACAATATGGGACATCATCAAAAGGAAGAAAGTTTGCATAATTGGAATTCTTGAACAGGAAGAAGTGGAAGGGGAAAAAAGCACCAAGAGAGTTGTGGAAGTTACTAGAAAAAACTGTCCAGGCATAATGGAAAATGAGAGAATATATATCCAAGAAGTTAAGTGAACTTCACATAAAATAGACACCAAAAGAAAAACACTGAAGCATATGATAGTCAAATTTGCCAGAGCCAAGGATAAGGAGAGAATTTTGAAAGCACCTTGGTAGAAGAAAAGAGTAACTTATAAGAGAGTGTAAGTAAGATTAAGTGCCAATTTCTCTGCAGAAACCATGTTAGCAAGGAGAAAGGGAAAAACAACATATCAACCAATCAAAGAACACATGTGTCAACCAAGAATACTGTACCCAGCAAAACTGTATATCAAATATGGTGGAGGGATCAAGATATTCTCAGAAAAACAGACCTTCACAGAGTTTGTGAAAACAAAACCACCATTGCAGGAAATACTGAGGGAAGTCCTTCTTACAGAGATACCACAGAAAGAAGAATGGATCAAAGTAACCAGTAACAACACCAGCAAAACTCAACAAAACCATAGCAACAAACCTTATCTCTCAATAATGACACTAAATGTTAATGGTTTAAATGTACCAATGAAGAGAAAAAGAATAGCAGGTTAGATTCAAATAAAAAAACAAAACCCAACCACAACCCATCAATATGCTGTCTACAAGAGCCTCACCTAAAAAGTGAAGATAAGGAAAGAGTAAATATAAAAGAGTGGGAAAAATACGTGAAGGAAATGACAACTAGAAAAAAGCAAGAGTATCAATATTAATCTCTGATAAAATAGACTTCAGCATAAAAACCATCACAAATGACAATGGATGTCACTATATAATGCCTAAAGTGTCAACAGAACAAGAGGATACTACTATAATAAATAACCATGCACCAAAAATAGAGCTGCAAAATACACAAAGTGAATGTTAACAGAACTGAAAATGAAACAGACAACACCACAACAGTAGTTGGAAACTTCAAATTCACCACTCTCAAGAAACAATAGAACAAACAGAAAGAAACTCAACAAAGATGCTGAAGAATTAAACCACATACAACCAACTAAATTTCGTAGATAAATACAGACTAATGCTCCACCCCTAAAAGATGAGTATACATTTCTTCTCCAATGTACACAGAACGTTTTCCAGAACAGACCATATTTTAGTTCATAAAACAAACATTAAGATTTTTTTTTAAAACTTGTAAATGATAGAAAGTATTTTCTCAGACCACAATGCTACAAAATTAGAAATCTATAACAAGAGGATAAAGGAGGAAAAAACCCCATACATTTGGAAGCTGAACAAAACCCTACATGAACATGAATGGGTAAAAGAAGAAATAAAAATGGAAATGAAAAGGTTTCTTGAGACAAATGACAATGAAAACACAACCTCTTGAAATTGTGTAAGCAAACACATCAAAAGGGAAGAAAAAATGATAACTGATTTTTTAAGTGACCATATCCAACAACAGCAGACTGAAAAAGAATAGCAAGAAAATCCACTAACCTCTAAAAAAATGACATTTTTTAATTAGGGCAGAAATAAATGAAATATAATACTGAAAAACAATTGAAACCATCAACAAGGCCAGAAGTTGGTTTTTACAAAAGGTCAATAAAATCAACAAAACACTAGCAAAACATAAAGGGAAGGAAAGCAAAGACGCAA